AAGGTTGAGAAACACTGATCTAAAACAATGCGGCAGGGAGCCAAAAGATTGACACAATATAGCCATCCATGTTTGCACAAGCCGTAATTTGTTCCCAAGATCCTAACAACATTAATTAATTTATTTCAATTTGTACACTGCCCAACTCTCAACCACTCTGGGCAGTTCCCAAGAAAAATAAGAAGTATAAAACAATAAAAAATAATACAGCAGTAACAGAACCGGCAAAGATGGAAAAAGCAGGCAGCAACAAATCCACTCCTTGAAAGGGGCTACACCGGACCTAAAGCCTGGGTGAAGAGCCAGACCTTCAAAGCCCATCACTAGGACTGTAGATCTGAATTGAAATAATCAGGTAAAACAGTCAAAGTCAGACTGGTTCAGACAGGTGGCTGTTTGGGGCCAAATCTTACATGCTCCAGCCAGGATGTTCGAAGGCCAAGGACACAGGAAGTTCTGACGGGCATCTGGAAAACACCCAGCTGCCTACTTGCTGTACAGACCAGCGGTTGTTAACTAACGACACGCGTCCCACGGAAAGACTCAAAAGCAATTTAGGTGAGCTACAAGGTAAAGAATCGAAACTTTAATCAACTCTTTGAAACCTGCTGTAAATGATACCCATAATAATGGAGTGCTTAAAAACATCTACATGTCCTGGGGAAAATGAGCTTTTTATTTCTACCGAGACCCAGGTTCTTTGACAAGAGCGATGGGTGGAAAGTAGGATACAAGGAGTTGAGAATCAGTGGTACAGTCTGTACTAACTTTCATCCAGAGGTGGGGAAATGCCACTTTTAAATACGGTTCTCTTCTCCACCCTTGCACATTTTTTTGAAAGCACACGACATTCTGTCCCACACTAGCACATTCAGAAAAAAGGGCTTCGTTCAGTGCTTTGAAAGGTGCAATGGTCTTCCTAGGGTTTTTAACCTAAATCGTACTTTCTATTATGTAATGTTATATTCTACCCACAGCACTTACAGAAGAGAACAATCATTTAGTTGTGAGGACCAATCTTGAGTTCCCCTTTTTGAAATTCTTTGGGATTCTCCAGTATCCTCCCATCAATGCAGGATAATTATTAAAACATAGTTTTCTTTTGGTTCTTGCATGACATTTTCCCAACCAGTGTCTTTCCTGGATGACTTGAATTTTGATGCCCATCACTTCCAGCCAGTGCAAACTTTATTTCCCCTCTTGGCCAGTTTCATGTTTTCCTGTCTTCCTCATGACACCTCTCTCTAAAGCTCTGGTGGGAATTCTGAAGGCTGCAGTCCTAGCCTAAATGGAGGGGGCCAGATTGGAGAAGACAGACTTAAAGCCCAGAAATGGGGGGAGGGGGGGCAGAAAGGTCTGTTTTATAAAGTTGAACCACCGGATCAAAAATAGAGCGATTCCTTCAACTGAATAAAAAGCAAGCATGCCCAGGACCAAAGTCAGCACATTGACCCGGTCCCGTGCTATACTATGTCAGGTACCATGGAACAGCCCTGTGCTTTTTGAACAAGAATCTTGCCTGGGCCACTTCTACTATTAGTAGAGGAAAGGGAGTAGTATCATTACTAGAAGGAAGTGGAGGAGAAGCTTCAGCTGCAGCTTTCTTGTTCTTCTTTCATAATCTCAACAGCCAGGGGCACATTCAAGTGTCACTCAATGAATAAAAAATTCACCACTAAGACAGTCGCACCTTTTTCAAAACAGCTCTGAACAGCACCACCCAGTTACATAACTCTACATGGGGAAAAGGGGAGGGAGGCTGCTTGGCTCTTCTTTCCAAGGAAGCGATTCAGGAATTCCTGCATGAACTTGTTAGGGTCCCCACCAGCTCCCTCCCTTTACTGAAAGTATCTCCCCCTCCTCTGCTGATTTTAATATACACGCAGGCGTTGAGATTCAAGCTGAATTAAGAAACCCCTGAAATTCTCCTAGTTATGGTTTGTTTTTCTTGGGTGTCTCCAGGTCAACCAGTTTTCCTCAGCCTTCCCGATGTGTCGGGTTACAGCCCCCAGAATGCCCTGCCAACAAAGGGTGGAATAGTTGTAAACCGGTGCTCTCCCCACATTGAAACTAAGCGAGGAAGGCCAATAAAGAGATCCTTTTCTCCCCTTGTTTCCCACCGCTGAGAAGCACAGACCGCCGGGCTCCACAAGCGATGCTTTAAAAGTCATCGTGGCTGGATGCACCCAAACAAGCCAAGCCTAAACCGCATTATGGCTTAGGCAATGTGTGAAGCAGGCTGAGGGTTGAAGTCAGCGAGAACCGCGCAAAGCAGCCTTCCCCCAACCTGCTTCCACGGCCCTGAGCACCCAAACCAGCAGCGCACCCAGAACAAACTTGTTCTGGTTCGAGCAGAAACTCCTCCTTGAACCAACCTGAAGGCATCAGAAAGACGTTCAGCGGCCCTCCAGGACTGCTGAGCGGTGGCTCCCACCCGTGAGTGTTAACCGGGGCAGT